TATTATTTCTTTAAAAGGATAATAAATGAAGAAGAAAAAAATAACTATTTTGCTAATAGTACAATTGATAAATTTGAAATTAATGGTGAAATATTTGTGGATTGTAAAAAAACAGATACACCTGAAGGACAAGCAAAATTTATCAAATGGCATTGCTTATCTTTACTATATGCATGTATTGCTGGATATATTGAAGGAAATTCCTTTGATTCACTTGACAATTGTCCAATAACAGGTAAAATTAAGATTAATGATTTGACGAGAATTAATAAAATTTATCAACAATTAATAACAATTCCAACTCGTCATGTTTTATTACAACGGGGAATAACTTTAAGAACAATAGCTCTAATGTCAACGATAGTAAATGAATTGAATGCTGAATTTTGGAAATTTAAAAAAATTGATTTAACAAATAGTACATTTTTGGAATTAGGAATTCCTAAACTTGCTGGAATTGATCGTGGATTAGAAATAAAACCACTTTTTAGTGAATTTTTTTTGCACCAAATGGCACATATGTTACAGATTTGTAAGGATAATTCTCTTTATTTTGACTGAATATGTCATGATATTATTAATAACTTGTTTATAATTATAATTTGATAATAATTTTTAATTTTTGATAGTATACTTATCACATTTATTTTGTTAACCAATGAAATTATTAAATATAAGTTTAATATAAATAAACTTACAATTGTGTATTATTTTACTGATCCTTTGATGATAAATAAATTGTAATTTTTCTATGGGCTTTAGTATCTAGTAATAATTATTTCAAACGTTTTGGTTCCAATGTGAACTTTTATCTCAGTGAATTTTATTGTCTAAACAAACCAATAATTAAAAAATAAAAAGTTTTTGTTTCTTAAAAATTTTTTATACAATAAAAGTTGAAGATATATATATATTAATAATGATTAAAATGTTTTATATATAAAATAAGAATAATAATATATATATAAATGTATATATATAATATAATAAAAGTATTTTTGGTAAGATTTTTCCTCAATGGAAAGGAATTTTTTTTTAATAATATTGTAGATGATGAAAAATAAAATGTCTATCTACCTTTTTCTGGCATTTATTTTATATTTATTTTAACAAAAAAAAAAATTTTGTTATATATTATTGATGAAATTTTTAAAAGTGAAAATTCTCTTAACAGGAAAAAGATTTTATAAAAATATTTTATAATATGTAAAAGTGTAGTAAAAATGTATCGCTCTCTGGTTTCTATAGTATAAATTAAAACAAAAATATTAATATTTATGATTGATAACGGTGATGATATAATGACGCGATGGTATAATTGATCGATAAATGAGACTTTTTGGTTTTGGTAAGATTTTCTTATAAATAATAAAGAATATCGGTAAAATATTTTAAGGGATTAAATAAATCAACTTAAAACACGTTTTTTTAGTTGGTTATTATTATTTTGTTGAAACAAATTTTTTTTTATATGTATAATTATTATGATTGAGGAAAGTTAGAGCAGCGCCTCGGGAGGAAACAAAGTGAATTGTATAGCGAACGCACAAACGGTCGGTAATGTAGGATCTACTGTAAAAATATAAATAATACCTTTCTATTTAGGGGAAATTTCACTGAAAAGGATTCTTAATTTTTTTTCAAAGTTACATGTAATTTATTCAAATAGGTATCAATAATGTTAATTTTAAAAAGATTTCATCAATTAACTTGAGAAGAAAAGTAGACTTACCACAGGTAAGTCTGAACTTCTGTTGATAAAATAGAAAACACAGGCAATGTTTTTACCAATAGCGAACAATTTGAGAATATCTCTTTGAGATAATAATTCTTTCTGTTTTTTTTAGTTCTTATCATTTGATACTTTCAATATTATTCACATACGGTAAATTAATGATTTTCTTCCTGCACTAGAATTACTTCTCAATAATTCGTCAAAATACACATAGAGTTATTTCGACTAATTAGTAACTATTCTAAATTTTTATAAACATTTAATCAAAATGGCAAAAAATTAATTGAATAGCAATAAAAAAAATTAATTCTACTATAATTATAAATTTTCCTTTAAATTCAAAAATATTTAAACAATACAATAAAAATTTCGATTTTTCGTTTTTGAAATACAATATTTAACGGAAAATTAAAATTTTTAAATGTTTTTAAAATATATTTGTTTAAAAAAAAATTGTTCCAGTTTTAATAAACTTTCAAATAAATATTGGTATTTATTCAATGTAAAATATTAATTTACTTTAGCTGTTATAATATTGGATTAAAAATATTACATTAATTTTATTTTCATAAAAATCGCCAATATAAATTCATTTTTATCACAAGTCGTTTCTGAATATTTTAAAAATCCACTAAAAATCACAAAGACTTGCGGGTATATGTATATATAGTGTGTAGAAGATAACATGTGTCTTTTCTGAAACGCTCGTGACATGTACAAATTGTGAGATTATGCAAGTCGTGACACAAGTTTGGTGGTCGCTACCTCTCTAAAAATGCGATTGGATTGATTCGAGTGATAAATTGTTCTTTCCCCTTCTTTTTTTTTTTCATCAGTCCGAAAAACATTTCCTAAATTTAATTTTTTATGTATAAATATACCATTTAGGTAAATGTGAATTTAAAAGAAATCATAAATTTTTCTTATTTTTATAGGTATATATTACCAAAAATTATAAAAAATTTCTAATTAAAAAAAAAACAATTATTTTTCATGAAAATTTTTTTTATTTTTACTTTTTAACAAAATTAATTTTGTTGATTAAATACATAAGATTTATTTTATGCACTGTTAGTTTTTTCTATAATTTTATATGGTATAATTATATATATATATATTAATTGAATAATAATAATAATTAAATAAAATAATTATTAGATATTAAAAAGTATTTAGGTTGCGATGCTAAATTGTGTATTATTATATATATATATATATATATATATATATATATATATGAACAGTCTAGCTATTGTACTTTATTAACTAGTTATTATCTCTAATAAATATAGACTATTAATAGTTACAAATCGAACATTGCGCATTCATTTACTGTTAATTATTTGCAATGTTATATACATTTGTATATATATAATATATAGAAAATTATTATTTTCAAGTAAAAAAATTTAAGTCATATAAAACTTTTAGAAAAATTAAAAATTTTTATATCAAATTTGCCACAAACAATAATTTTTTATTATAGTTCGACAAACCGATATTTTTTCAAGGATTTAGTTTTTTTACGCGTGTGCCTCTTTATTGCTTTAAAATATATGAGGCATTTCATTTGAAAACGATCAGTCATGACTTAGATTTTTTTAATATTTCCTTTTTTTTTGTATTGTTTGGGAACTTAAATAAGTATGAAAAATAATATAATATAATATAATATTGAAGAATATTCATGATTTTTTTTAGATCGAAATTAGCCCAATAACAGGTTTAAACATTAATAAAAAAAATTTTTTTTAAATAAGTAATATAAAAATTATAAAATATTAAAAATAAAAATCATTTTCTTAAAATTCAATAATTTTTGAAGAAAAAACATTTAAAACACTTTTCTGTACAAAGAAAAATGAAAAAGTTATAGCGCGAAAAGGAAAAAAAGTATCTTAAATTTGTTAATGTAAATAACTTGAAAAAAACTTAAGATTTTTAATTAAAATTTTTCACACATATTTAAGTCCCCAAACAATACAAAAAAAACGAAATATTAAAAAAATCTAAGTCATGACTAATCGTTTTCAAATGAAATGCCTCATATAAAAATAGATTCATCCTTATTTATATTTGATGAACTCGTCGCATTTGTCACAATTCTAGGTCAACTACCGCACCCTGCTTTAGTGAAAATTTAGTGAAATTCTATAGTTAAAATTAAAAGTTACTATAAAGTCACTAAATTTTCACTATAGAGCGTAGTGGCGTAGTTGACCATCAGAATTATGACAAATGTGCGGGGACAATGGAATTCTTCTCGTATTCACATGAAGGTGTCAAATCTTGAAGTGTAAATGTACCTTAATAATAGTACACGTAATTACGTATACATACGTAGGTAAGAATTGTGACTATATGTCAGAGTTTTTTTTAATATTGGTTTCCATTGTCCCCATTTGCTAAAGTTTCCACTCGCTATTTTTGATAATTCTCGTCAATTACCGCATCCTCCTCTAGTGAAAATTTAGTGACTTTATTGTTAAAATTAAAAGTCACTATAAAGTTTCACTAGAGCAGGGTGCGGTAATTGACGAGAATGATCAAAAATGGCGAGTGGAAACTTTAGCGAAGGGGGACAATGGAAACCAACCGTGTTCAAGGTAATACCGAAATTAAAAACTAGGTAGAATTATTATTATAATCAGAAAGTATTTTATTGAAAGATTCCAATGTCCTCATCCCAAGTTTCCATTTGCCGGATTTGTGTTAAGTATATTGATTAACTACCGCGCACCCTGTTCTAGTGAAAATTTAGTGACTTCAGAGTAATTTTTAATTTTAACTAGAATTTAATAAAATTTTCACTAGAGCAGGGTGCGGTAGTTGACGGAGAATTATAATAAATGGGAACTTTGTTCAGTGGGGAGACATCGGCATCTTTCCTTTTAGGTTTTACGTTATAACATATATAGTGAATTTACTCAAAGGGGATGAGTTAAATAAAGTATACTACAGAACAAATTCGCCTCCCTACATAGTCTAGTATAAACAGTTTTTGTTAAAAAAAATTACGAATTTAATTTGAAAAAAATCTTCCAAACCGGCTGCATTGCAAATAGAAAATATACTTTCCATTGTAATTTCTTTATATACGATTAGATTAGTTCCAGCAGTGTGGTTTCCATAGAGTATACTTATATATCTCTAAATAAAACTCATTTGCGGAAATTCATTATTATCTTTATAAATTAAGTTTTCTGATAGTTAATTTACCAACTAGTTAAGTTAGAAAGAAAACTGAAAAATTGTTGAGACTTACGCGCGATTATGCATCATTAGCGACGTGCGTGAACATATATGTATATATACTTCTTTTGCGACCATAAAATGCATTTGTGTCGGTGCGTGCGTACTGCATATCGAGGTAAGAGTGGTTATCACCAGACTGTGATTGGTTCTGCCCTCTGACCTCAGAGTATATGGCTCCGCCTCTCACTTACGCGCACCAACATTATATATATATATATATGTATATATTTCAAACATATAAAACGTCGAGTTCTGTTTGTCACACAACTATCATGGCGTCTTGTTTCAATGATCAAAGACTTATTCCCATTGCTTTTCATTATCAATAATATGTTCGCGATTCGTTTTTAGTCCGCGATATCAAACTTAAACTAGAATATTAGTATATTCTAGAGTATATCGGCAAATATTTTTTTTACTAAACGTATTACACTGGAAAATTATTTAATTATAGTACATATGTGAGTTACATTTTTTAAATTATTTATTTGAATAAATTTTTACGAAAGTATATATATAGAAACGATTATGCGTTTCATATAGAGGAAGAAAAAATATTCGTTTGGCTATACCGGATCAAAAAAAAAAAGTTTATTTCCTGTTATGCGGCTCAATGGGGGATGGATGAACTTGGTTATAATTTATGCGTAGGTGGAAAACGGCAATTGAAACATAACAAACGCACATTACTCCATCAAGGAACGGAAGGCACGGGCCCGTTATTCGTTTGTCGTTTCTTTGATCCCAATATATATGAATCGGTACAAAGAGACTCGTTGGACATTCTCGTTATTATAGAGGCAGCTCTCATCATCTATAATGGTTCACGGAAGTTTATATATTTTTCTTCGTCGAGATATACATAATCTTCCATCTTATCTAAAATGTATTTTCGCCTTATCAAAATTGTTTATAGCTATAGTTTAAAAATCACTATCACATTTAATAAATTTAATTCCAATGATATAGTATATATATATATAGAGCAAACATATTCTCTCACAATAATGAAGAAAGATATACCGGCTCTTATATTATATAGCTTTAATTTTTTTTCAAATCGTCAGCACACATTTAATAGTCGAGTTGATCATTTTATTTGAATTCTCAACCGATGAAAACTCATTGATACGAATTGAATTGGACATTATACTCAGGATTGGACACTTTGTAAAAATCGAAGCGAATTATGGGTACAAAAATAAAATAACATTTATAACGTTACTGCAGTGGGATTACTAATAGCGCTAGTCGCTATGTAGCGCTTTTCGTTATTTAGAATTAAAAACTTACATATTTTTAGTGAAATTTGTTCCAAATCATGACCAAAATAAATTATCGTTGACAGTTTCTTCAAAGCTTAAACTGCAAGATGGTAATTTAGAAGAAAATATAAACATAACCCCTCTAGATAAGGATATTGACATAGAATTCATGTCAATTTCCTAAAATATTTTATCTACGTAGCAAACAAATACAATATGAAGGTGGAATCAATTCTCTAACTTCATGTTTGCCAACTGTTAGTTTCAAATAAAATAATTAACTAGTGACGAAATAAATTATACTTTAATATTGTAAATAACCTATTAATTTAATAAATAACAACTTTAAAAATAAATTATCTAGTTTAATGTTAAAATAATTTATAAAGGAAATAACTTTTTTTAATTTAATTTAATAAATAAAAATTAAGAAAATTAATCTTATTGCAAGAATTAAAAATAATAATTGCATGAGATTCAAAATTAGGATATTCTTTACCAGCCTAAATTTAAAAATTCATAAATTTTTTTAATTAAATTAATTAATAATTTTTTAATTAAATTGATTTAAATTTTCATTTCTTGAAAAACTCTTTAACTCACAAAAAATGCCGTATACATTTTTTTAGTTAACCCTTGCGTGAGAACAAAAATTCTATTTTCGAGGTTATATCTTCAAAATTTTTTTTCCCATTTTAGACAATGTCTAATAGAAACTTTTAATCCTATGAAAAAGATAATAAATATAAATGCAATAAATATTTAATTATTAATATAAAAAAGACAAGTAAATAGTTTATTATTATTGGATAAAGTTGAATTATTTTCTTGATTTTTTGTAAAGAAAGAAATTGGAAATAAATGTCTCCTTTTTTCTTTATTATTATTATGTTTTATTTAGTTTATAATTATTAATTATAAAAAAATTTAAGGTTTAAATTTAGAAATAAAAGTGTTAATATAATAATATTAATAATTATCGCTGCCTAGAATTGCCTTTTTTATAACTTTTGAGATTTGAAGTGTTACACTTGAAAAATTTGTCGAGCTTTTAGATATTTCTTTTAATTGCTTCATTTCTTCATCGTGGGAAATCTTTATGAATTTGATACATTCTTGATTCTAAAAAAAATTGTTAAATTATAAAATAAAGCAAATATGAGAAAAAAATACACAGAAAAACAATTGTACCAACTTAAATCTATCAAAATGATACCATTTTTTGAGTCACCCGATAGATAAAACATTTTTTAAAGTGAATGTTGCTTAGAATCGCTACGTAGCGAAATCTTCGTAGTGCTGTCGCTATTTGTAATCCCACTCCTGAAAACGTTTTTTATATTTATTTTTATTATTTATAATTGACAATTAATATTATTTATAACGTTACTGAAAATTATTTTTAAGTTCATTTTTTCATTTTTAATGTTATTATTATTATTTTTCTAATATCTTTAGCAGAATATGTGCTGTGTGTGTGCAGATATGTTTATTTGTATATTTATTTATAAATTGTGTCAATTTCATAATTAACAAAGTGTCCAACCCCGAGTGTATAGAGTGTCCATTCTTAGTAGCAAGTAACATTTTCGAATTGTGCTAACCATAACCAGATGTGTTTCGCAATTTGATTTTTCACTTCATTTTTTCTTCAATCATAAACCCCACAATACATGCAATAAACTTACCTTGTCGATTTCTTGTTTTCTTTATTTATTTTTTATGTTTAATCATATCGCTCACAAAACTTTTTTCGTTTCTACAAATGTACCGACGTCACAGCAGACGCTACTTTTGATCCTCCAAAAATGTAATGGCACAAAAAGTTATAGGGTTTCACTACGAGAAGCTTCGCCACGTCCGTGCATAAATGGCGCTAGTGTTTCTATTTTAAGAAAAGCGAAGTGTCCAACCCTGAGTATATTCCCCTATATAAAGGACTTCACTGAATCTTGCTTAGCGACAAAATACGAATTGGACTTTGACAAAAAAAGTTAATTCATCATCTGAAATTATTTTTTTTTACTGGGATAATATTCAATTGCACTCTGACAATTTGTTAATCTGCTTCTGTAAAACGGAATATTTATTACAAAATTGTCATAACTTCACTTAACAATTTAATTTTACAACACTTACAAAACGATAATATTAAAAAAATCCCAATGATTCTCATTATATACATATATATATTTAGTAATTTTTAAATTTATGATATACATAACCTTAAAATATATTTCATCCACGTTTTTTCTTGCACGCATTTAAGCAAGTATTGAGATTGATGAAATAAAATTATTTCTATTTTATTTTCATATTATTTTGTGAAAATAAAATATTGTTTAAATTAACATACTTTTGGATTGGTAAAAATGTCACTATTGGGATCGGCTAAACTGCAATACGCCATCTGGTGGGGACCCATTCTCTCCCTCCATTTTCTTTCTTTGTCTCTCTTCAATTAATAGGTTAGAAAGAGTAGAAAAAACAAAATGGAGGGAGAGAATGGGTCAAAGTTACTAGATTGTTACTAGACCACACTTCCCAATTGGGATCTGAAATCATAGGGAATTATGGGGAAACTGACCTCGTTGCGTCAGCCATCTTGATTTTTTATCTCTTTCTTCTACATATATTTTAAAAAGGATGAAACGAAAAATGGCTGACACAACGAGATCGTCACCAGATGGCGTATCGCAGTATTTCAGATTCCAATACATCACATGCACTTGTTAGAAGTCTAAAAGAAAAAGACCAGAAAATTACGTTGATATTTTCATGTTATAGTTGACTTTCTTTCACACATTTCGTATAATGAAATTAGACAAAAGTATTGAATTTTCATCAATCACAGTAAATTTACACATTTTTTTTAGATAATAATTTAATTGAATTTTCCATCGTACCGTTGTAATTTTATGTCAATCGTTGTTTCATTAAATATTCAATAAATATGGTAAAGTTACAAGGATTGAACAATTAAATTTCCTTAAATTTAGTAATATTCATCGGTCGTTCCTATTAAAGTTTTACAGATTGTATGCAAATTACAATAAAATTTTTTTATAGTGTATGATCGTAGTTACTGACCATTTTGAACAGGGTAATGAAACTCAAATATTGTATATATACACAGGAATGTGTTGCCAAATTATAAAGTGGAACGTTCGAAATATTGCCTATAATATTTAAGACGTTACATTTTAAAAGTGCTTCTACAACAACTTGTTTTGTATTGGGCCTCAGCACAGTGAAATCGTAAACTGTAAAATGAGGTAGGAACGAATAGAAGATTTATCTGTTATTTTCTTTCTCATTCTTATGTGATGAAGTAGTGTAAGTTGAATGGGGGAAAATTCAAGATGGACGTAAAGCTGGATGGATTTTTTTATATGGAGAATAAGATGTATAACCTCCATTATATCTAAGATCATAAAATGTTCGTTGTCGTTTGTTTGTACTTTTAATTTAATTTCAGTTATTCACTCAATTGGATGAATTCTGTCCTTTTGGTTTAACGGCATTTTGAAAAGTCGTGACACTTCTATAATAATTTTATTTGTTCGTGGCGTATAGTGTAATCAGTGTATACGCGCCTTTCACCACGAACTAATAAAATTATTATAGAAGTGTCACGACTTTTCAAAATTTCGTCAAACCGGAAGAGCATTTGTCATAATTCTCATCAACTACACCGAAATGTTTTTGGGTGAGCGTTTCTCTCCGGCTGATGATGAGTAAAAATTTAGTGACTTTATTGTTAAAATTAAAAGTTACTATAAAGTTACTAAATTTTCACTAGAGCAGGGTGCGGTAGTTGACGAGAATTATGACAAAAATCGAGTGGGCACAATGGCAACCAACTTATTTATGTAATTGCCTGGAAATTATTTAGATGATTCACTGATAATTGTTTTTACCACCTTTCAATGTCCGTACAATAGTTATTGTAAAAAATATAAAAAATTTACAATAACCTCAAAATCTTCTTTGGGATTAACATATTAATTTCGAATTTACATTATTATCTGTGTGTCAACACGCAAATTCAAAGCATTGCTTAAAGTACTTATTTATAGTAATATTTATAATGAATCATAGTGTTTTTAGTATTTCTTATCGTCTTGATATACTCGCTTAGAACAATTTATATATATATATATATATATATATATAAAGAGTTGTTATTAACGCGCTATGCACTGTGATGCAATTCTGGGTCATATAGATTTACATCAACAATAAATCCAATCACATTTTAAGTTTATTGACGACTACTGGGTGTATCATCATTATAATATTATAACAACAAAATTATTAAATATATATTTAAAAATGGTGTATATATACACCATATTTGCTTTAGGGTAAATTTCCACGTTCTTTATTTGCTGTTAATGTTTACAAATATTTTTCACTAAAGCTGCTCTTCTACAACAACTTTTATTTCATCGCCATGAACTATGAACAAAGCACTGTCGAAAATATGCGCGCGCATCTTTTTAACAGTGCGGGTTGATTTCCATTGCTTCAGTATTCGCCATTTTTCATAATTCTCGTCAACTACCGCACCCTGCTCTAGTAAAAATTTAGTAACTTTGTAGTAATTTTAATTTTAACAAAAAAGTCACTAAATTTTTACTAGAGCAGGGTACGGTAGTTGACAAAAAAGTCGTTGTAGAAGCAGCTTAAAACCCTACATTGATTCGTAAATTTACTGCATGAGATAGAAAAGGACACATGTTTATCTCTATCTTTTTTCATGTCATGTCGAATAACCTATTGTGCTTAGGGCATAACTCAAAGTAAACCATAAAGTAAACACAGAATAACAAAAATTTTATAATAATTAATTATTATAATTATATATCAATTTCATCAAAATTATCTTAATATAAATATAATATCAACAATGTTCATTAAGAATTTATAGATAATTTATACAATATTTTCTGTTTCTAAAAACTTTGAACGATTATATAGAATATTTAACGATATACATTTAAATATAAAACTAAATATCTAGATAAATACTTCTTGTTCAGACTAATCTTTTTTTTCGTTTTTCTTTCTTTTTTTTTTTGCTGCAATAATGATCATAGTCGCGACTTCATTCATGGGATAATTCATTGACTCCTTTTCTTACTGGCGCGGTTATATATTCACAATATAATGTAACGATTCAAAGAAATTTTATCTCTCGTTTCCTTTCAATATGGGAGACAAGACATATGAAATAGAGTGACGTCAGAACTACCGGAGCAGAAGGAGCCTGCGGTATATAGGAGTTTGGAGAAGTAAGATATAATAAGGTCAGACACTCGGGTTATCTCCGGGGTGACCGTATCTTTGCGAGAGAAACGATAAAATGGAATACACTGAATACAGAGAAGCACACTCGGCTTTGGAGTTGGTCCAAATTTCCTCTACACACTACTATATATGTATACGTGATTCATCTGTATGTATGTAACTCGAATTCACTCTCTCTTGCATGCATGTGCATCATATATATTAGGAACTTTATAATCATATGGGCCAAAGGCACATTTAGCTAAAGTTTCGAGACAATCGGCTAACGAGCAGGTGATCATTGACATGTAAATTTCCGATAACCGCAAAGTGACCGCAACTATTTCAATCGAGATTTTGAATTTCATATAATATATACACAGATCATTTTAATGCTTATGCTTTAATCGTCAATTTATAAATTCGGCGAACAATTTGGATCTGATTATTACTTATAAAAATTATGTTGAATGTCTGATTTATTTGAATTTTTGTTTCTTTTATTGTACTGGTTACGATTTTGGCTTTCAGGGTTTTCGAAAAAAAAAAAATTTATTTAGTCATTTAGAAACTATTTGATAATTTTATAAAAATATCTGTTACTGACAAATTTTCGTATTCGACATTTTAGAATTTCTACCTTTATCTAAAAACATTCACTCTCATTGTCTTACAAACTCACCTTTCTTTCTCATATCTTGTTCACTGAACCTAACCTAAAATTCTCACTTCACTTTTGTAGTATAACAGGTTGGTTTTCATTGTTCCCACGCGCCAAAATTCCCACTTGCCATTTGTTATAATTCTCGTCAACTACCGCACCTTGCTTTAGTGAAAATTTAGTAATCTTATTGTTAAAATTAAAAGTTACTATAAAGTTACTTAATTTTTACTAGAGCAGGGTGCGGTAGTTGACGAGAATTATGACAAATGGCGAGTAGGGACAATGAAAACCAACCATTACGTGGTTTTTTTAAGTGAGGTAAATTACGAGCCAACATACCAAGAATCTTTGTCTTATAAATTTCCAAAATCCAAAAGATTGTGCGAATTTATATGCTAGAATACAATTGAAAATTTGGAAAAATAGGAAAGTAATGTAATGACAGCTGCAATTTCTTTTTACCAGCATTCTTCTGCCATCTGACGGCGATTACACGTAATGAACCGTTCATTATATTACTTTCCTATTTTTCCAATTTTTGAATCGCATTTTACTATGAATTCGCACAACTTTTCAGATTTTCGAAATTTATAAAATAAAAATCCTTGGTATGTTGGTCGATTTTGTAAAAAGTGTCAGTATTTCGAGAAAAAAGTATTTTTTTTAATTTTTATTTTCTCTTTATTGAAACAAATCCAACAGGTCATTAGTTTATTTTGAGAAAAAATACATTATTAATGATTGAAAATAACATTTTTTTTTTCATAAAAATTTACATTTATTTAATTGAGATAATTATTGATGTTAATGCATTTTTTTATTTTGTTTTGGTACACAAGTAGGATGTTCTCCAAAAAATTTTCCATCAATACATGTAACATTTTGATTTCCCTTAAGTGTAAACTTCGAATTGCACTCATGAATAATAGTAACTTTATCTTGTGTAACATACACAGTAGTGTATCCTGTACCTTTCAGAATTGTATCTAGATGTTCATCAATACAATCATTATCTGAAAAGAATTAAGGTACTGTCATATGCAACTAATAATTTTAATTAAATATAAATAATTGATTATATTATTAATTATTTTAAACAATTGTTAATAATTTTAATTTAAAAAAAATTAAAAATGTTACTTGGAATTAATATACATGAAAAAGCATAAAAACTGAAAAAAATACTTACGCGTACAGAATGGAAGCTTTTTCGTCCAAGTTCCATTAATGCAATATATTTCTTCTCGACCAAATAGGAAGTAATTTTTATCGCATTTTAGTATTGCAGAAGCTCCATTTTCATTTAATTTATAATTTCCATTTTTAACATGGAGTTCTGGACATTTTAAACCTACAAAATACCAATAAAAACGTATAATGAAACCGCTGCTAATGAATTTTTTTTATTTATTTCAATTTAAAAATGTTAATAACTCTGAATAAAATAACAGTAGAATGTTCGCTAATAGCTTAAAAAAATGCGTCTTAAAAAACTCTACAAAATTTAAGATATTAAAAGCTAAAAACGAGGTAAATAATTCTGAAACTCATTCTTTAACAGTAATTTTTAGAACCGCTGATTATGAATCTAAATTTTTTTCAAAAATTCAAAATGGCGGATCCAAAATCGCGGATAAAAATTTTTAAAATTCATCTGAATCGGTTAAAATTTCTTACTTGGGGCTTATTGGGGTCTCTGACAACGAATCTGATGACAGTTTTTAGAAATTCAACATGACTGATCCAATATGGCGTAATTCAATAAATTTTAAAAATGTTCTTCAGCCATATTAGCCCAGCCATTTTAAATTTCTGAAAACTGATAACATATTCGTTGTCAGCGACCCCAAAAACTCCAGTTTTGAATTTTTGAGAAAAAAAAACTTTAGATTCATAATCAGGGACCCTAAAAACAGTTAAAGAATGAGTTTCAGAATTATATACCTCATTTTTAGTTTTTAATTCGTAAAAGTATTTTGAAATTTTTTGACTTTTGACAATAGTTTTAAATTTATAGGCAACAAACGATTTTAAAAAAAAATTTAATACCAAAAAAAATAGTTAATTAATAAAATGTAATAAATTTTTGAAACAGACATACCTGCTGGGATAGATCTTATGAAAACTTGTAGATTTGAAATAATAAGCATGATGACAATTAAATTAATTGTATTGAAAGACATTTTTTTCTATTTCTTTTAGCTATATGCAAATGTTGAACAGATTATGAACGTACAAGTTTGTGTTTTAGACTATATGCTTCATATGTTCCAAGAAAACATTAAAATTATCAAACAGTGCGTGTATCGTTTTTTTTGCATTAAAAAATAAAGATGTAAAAAGTTATTTTTCAAAGTAAAATCGTACGCATAAATAATAATCTTCATTGCATTTCTGTAGGAATTTTAAATTATCGCTTATTACTGATAAAACATAAATATTATTATAGTTTTTATGATTTTTGAAAGTTTGTAAAAAAAACTATATACACCTAAAAAAAGTTTCTTTGTTTCTAAGAACGTTTATTTGAATCAAAGAATTTGTGCATTGCTATAGGGTCAAAGAAAAATTTTTTTGATTTAAAAAAATTATTTCTATACTTGTTTTTTGTTGACTCAAAGAAATATTTCTTTGAATTAAAAAAATTATTTCTTTACTTGTTTTTTGTTGACTCAAAGAAATATTTCTTTGGTTTAAAAAAATTATTTCTTTACTTGTTTTTTGTTGACTCAAAGAAATATTTCTTTGATTTAAAAAAATTATTTCTTTACTTGTTTTTTGTTGACTCAAAGAAATATTTCTTTGATTTTACGAAATTTCTTATTTGAATCAAAAAAATTACACATTTTACATATCACTCGTAAATCCCAAAGATATACGAACAAGATTCACAAACTTCTTTATCACTTAGTGTAAAAATATTTTAAACAAAATTTAGCTATTAATAAAAAACTGTTTAGACCATAAATCCGATTATAATTTGCCATAAGGCACACACAGCTGTTTACTAATTTACGTAGTCTGCGCAAAATCAGTTTACTTAAGTTTGGAAGAAATATTTCTTTCATTCAAAGAAATTTTTCTTTGGGTTAAAAAAATCGTTCAAAGAAAATATTTTGTTGATTCAAAACACTTCCTAATTTGTTTTACGTAAAAAGCAAAGAAAACTTTTTTTAATTCAAACAAATTTTATCTTTGATTCAAAAAGTAAGTTTAAAGAAACGATTTCTTTATTTTAAAGGAAATTTTTTTTTTTTTTGAGTGTATATATGAGCTATTTTCGAGAATGAAATTTTTTTGAAGTGATCACAAAATGATGATACTTTTGTCTAAAGCCACATATAACATTTTCTATATATAAATGATAGTACATACAATATGTACACTGGATCCCAGAAGTATAAATAATTATATGGATTTCACTGTACCTACATAAATAATGAAAATCTAAAAGTTATCGACTCATTATTAATGTATATTTTATAGTTAAAAAAAATTATACATTTGAAATGAATAAAACAGTAATTTGTTAGAAATAATAAAAAATGTTTAAATTAAAGCCAAAGAACGCCATTTGTCATATGTACCAAGTCGTTTTTAAGCAGTCGATTTTGCTTTGTGCAATTGATATTAAAGTATAAATAGAGGATGATACTTCGTACATTGTATTCATTTAAGATTTAAGTGTAAATTTTAGTCGATTATATGCGAATATCTACAAAATAATGTATGTTGCTTTTCTTTTTTTTTTCTTGGTGTAAATAATCAAATATACCACTAACGTGTACACAGCTGCCTCGTATTTAACATTATTACTGCGCGCGGTATAGCTTATTCGAATACTATTAACTGCAGTGTGTAAATTAATTTCCAAGACGCTTTTGCTTGTCTAATTTAATATAATAAAAGGCACATTTATTCGCGCTCGATACATACTCGCGCATGTATATAGATAATTTCTTCGTGGATTTGGATTTAATGTCAATTTATTATGTCCTAGAGTGTAATTATTTGTAACTTAAGTATCATATATATGTAATTTATTATTTTTACAAATTTTTTTATTTTAACTCTAAATTTTTATTATAATAAAACAGGGGAAAATTTTGTTTAAAATGTATTTATAAAATTTTAGAAAACTGACAGAATACAAACGATAAAAAAGGATGAGAATTTTTTAAATTTTAATATTATGAAAAGAAATTCACGGGAATGCCACAGGAGGTAATAGATCGCTATAGGTTTGAGATTGTGGGAGGTAAACATAACCTCAAAACTTTGATCAAAATCATAGGTTAAATTGTTAATATAACCCATGGAGTAGTATAAGGAGACCGAACGACCATGTTAAATCTGCGTTAAAAGTGTGGACCAAATTTTGGTAACCACTTAGTGTCATGAAAATACGTAATGGAACACTAGTGCCACTGATTGTGTTAAACTCAGCTGGACAGTCAGCCATTGTAAAAGTTTTAAATAAATAAGGAGCAATGTATTTTAAGGTTATGTTCAACGTACTTTTAATTTTTCCCACTGTTTACATACTTTCCACGAGAGCGCTTGTGTTCCATTACGTATTTTAATGACACTAAGTGGTTACCAAAATTTGGTCCACTTTCAATGTACGTCGTTCGGACTCCTTATACTACTCTATGATATAACCTTATAATTTTGATTTTCAAATTAAAGGCCAAACATAACCTCAAAATTTAGTAAACTCAATAGTTTTGTTCAAAATTTTAATTTGGTTTTTTAAACATATATACAAATTTAAATAGTTTTGTAAAAGGTTCAAGTGTCCATAATATTGTTGTATAGGGTAGTTTGGATTAAAGCCAAGAAGCTTCTTTTAGTATAGGATTGCGAGTATGCGTAAAAGAGTTCATTTCTTTTTCACCGAGCGCGGTTAGATTTATTGAAATTCTAAGCGACCAACTGCAAAACCCTGGCGGCGAATAGAGAGGAGTTTGATAACTTTCTGTCTTTCTTTCTCGACTGCATACAAAGAATATATATATATATATATATAGTCACGGTTTTGCTTACATTTTCCATGCATGCGAACATCTGTGATTTACAACCAATTTATGTATTCTGACTTTAAAACACAGGATAAAAAAAATTTGATGAAAGAAACACAAGATAGAATCGACGGAGAAAATAAGGTTGTACAATAAAACTATTCAAAGAGTTGTCAAAGAAATGAGGAAAATAAACGAGTCCGTAAGTTACTTTTTATAGTCAATTAACAACTTGCTTTTAAATCACAGAAAACGGTGAATTAATCTTAACTACAACAACAGAGAGAGAGCCGTAATGCTATACCATTTATATACGACTCAATTAGTTGACATATTGTATTTATCATTTTCAAAAAAAGTCTTTAAATAATCAAATTTAATTAAGTGGAATTTTAGGATCAAGAAAAGATTTTTGTTATGGTTTCCATTGTCCCCACTCCATATTTGTCATAAATCTCTTTAACTATATATCTCACCCTGATCTAGTGAAAATTTAGTAACTTTATAGTAAATTTCAATTTTAACAATAAAGTCACTAAATTTCCACTAGACCAGGGTGCGGTAGTTGACGAGAATTCTGACAAATGGCGAGTGATATAGAAACCAACCAACCAATGTTTTATACAACCCGGGATAAAGTGAATAGTATTCGAATAAGTATACACAGTAAGGGCGCACTCACACCTTTTGGCTGCCTGCCTGCCTGCAGGAGTTGTCATGGCAACGTGAAGGAGTAACAGAGATAGTAAATTCAAATTTGAATTTTCTCTCTCTGTTACTCCTACACGTTGCCATGACAACTCCTGCAGGCAGGCAGGCAGCCAAAAGGTGTGAGTGCGCCCTAATCGGAATATTCGAAATAGTATTTCAAACGGTATTGAAAGTATACAGAGTATACCAAACAGTATTCTAAGTTGTATACAACATCTCCAAAGTAAACCTGAAGGGCTCCCGTAATATTCGAAACGCATATGACAGTACACTTAGTAAATTAAGCTGAGTCTTCAAATGGATATTCTTAGTTTCCTAAGTATATACCAAAGTATTCAGAGTAATCTCGAAGGTCTCCAGAAGTCTCTTAAAAATATGAAAATCTTCCGGAGTAAATAAAATGAATACTGCAGTCTCTGAATTTTTGGATACTTAATTGGTGATACAACACATAGATGGCAGAAGTAAAAAATTAGAATTGCACTAATCCCTACTGAAAATTCTCATATAGGATCTTATATAGGATCCACATAAAATCCTATGTGTCATGTAAGAAACTATATAGGATCTTATGAAAAATCATATAGGAAATTGAGACATGATTTGAAGTAGGATTCGATGTAAATTCTTACAAACGTATTCTTAGGTAATAAGTTATGTAAATTCCTATGTGAAATCCTACAATTTTTTCTGGTCACATTTTTTCCTTCAATTTCTTATGTCAATTTCCTTCGTGTTTTCTCACTAAACAACATTCAAAAATTCATTGCTCAATCCTTAACCAGAAATTTTCCTATATCAAATCAAACATAAAATCTTTTTTCGATTCTTGAATAAAAAATTATTACAAAAAATCTGATATGAAATCATATTAAAAATCCTCACGTGGGATGATTGATTTGAACGTAAGAAATTATATAGGATTTCATGTAGATTCTGAAATATCTATATCTAAGATTTCACATAGAATTATATAAAGGAAACAATATAGGATTTCATATAAGAATTTTCAGTTGGCAGACGGCAGTTTATAAAAATTAAAAATTATTTAATTAAAAATCAAATAATATTACTGTAATTCATCTGAAAAGAAAAGAAATTGTGCTTTCCAATACACCTTTTGAGTTAGAGTCTCAGCTTTTATAGTATTCAAGACTGATCTCAACTGTGAGAAAAAAAATTAGCACCATCTAGCGGCGTAAGAGTGGAACTATAATGATATACATCTATATTTGAATTTCCCATATAATTTCCTATATAATTTCTCATATAATTTCCGACTTGGTATCATAGATGGACAATTAAAACAATGAAATCCACACATGACATTCCACATAAATTCCTATGTGATGAATTCTTACATGAAATCCAATAAATGATCCTATATAAGATTTTATATATGATCCTACATAAGATTTTACATGGATTTTTATATATATATATTTCTGTATGATGAATTCTTATATGAGATCCTATATAGGATCCTATATAGGATTTTATATATAATCCTACATAAGATTTTACATGGATTTTTATATACATATTTCTGTATGATGAATTCTTACATGAGATCCTATATAGGATT